TATGATTCCCTAGCCCTAAAACTCTAAAATGCTAAAAATAATAATAATTAATACATTAATAGTTTAATACACAATCGGTTAATCACAGTTTACAAATTCACGGCAGAAGTTCATAACTTCACTGATTCACAAATTATTTGTGGGGTGGGCTGACAAATAATTTAGGCTGGGTTGAGATTTGAAAATGTACCAATACTATTAAAAAAAAATTGGGCTGGGCTGAAGCCCACCCCTGACCTAGCATACATCCGCCCCCTTTGCGGCACTGGGGTAAATGAAAATGAAAATGAAAATAAATTATTTTCCATGAACTAAGTAATAGAATTATTAGAGGCTTAGTATTGTACTTTACATTAAACTCTCTTTAATATAAATATATCTACCAGGGTTCTTTAGGAAGTAACTTTTTTCATTACTCTCACATGGTATTTCCAGAAAAATACGTATTCTGGAAATAGCATACAATAATATCAACTATTTAAATATAAACCAAAAGTGATATGAAGTATTTTTTCACCGAAAATTTAGTCATTTAATTCACAAAAAACTAATATTAAAATATCAAATAAGCTAAGTGATTGTATTTCAGAATATTATTTCTTTGATGGTTTGCAATTAGTTTTTGATAATTTAAATGAGTGAATTTCTTGTTAAAAAGTGACTATGTATTATTTTTGTTTTACATTCAAATAGTTGGTATTATTAAAAATCATTTTCAATTTTCAAAGTATGTATTATTTTTTGTTGATGAGTGATATATAGTTGATATTATTTAATGTTATTTTCACTTTAATTATTATCTAAATAATCGTGTATGTCTTTTCAAAGGAAAATGCTTAATGTACATGAGTTGTACACAAACTGTACACAAAACCCCCGTAGTTGCCTGTGTACACAGGCAATTCATTTAGAAAATGGTAGAATTTGATAACCAATTGTCTGTGAACACAGGCAATGTACACATCTTGTGTACATCTTGTGTATACCAAGCATGACCCATTTTCAAAATGGCAACCTTTGAACAGGACAAAGGTAGTATTAAAGAAGTAAAAAATAGTAAAATACGAGTTGATATTTGAAATTCTCTAATAAAAGTCTTTTTTGTGATTGGAAAAAATTAAATATCCCTCCGAGCGTTGATTCTAGCTAGGCACTCGAACGCTGAAACAACACTTTCGCTGAACTGTCGTCGCAGGTCATTGGAACATTGTTGTCGTCAATAGCTGGAAATCTGTCACTAGTAGACTGCCGTTTCCGCCACCACTAGACCGTCTTGTCACCTTGGGACCACCAGGTTGTGTTTGAAAGGTAATTAATTAAATAAAGGTAGAACTAATTATATTTAGAGTAGAACACTAATATTCATTTCAATTCAAGGATATGAAGTATCAATTCTTATTTGCAAAATATATATACTACCTCTTTCCTTAAATAAATGCAACGATTAACTTTTCACGTTTGTCAATTAGTTTATTTAATTCTCTATTATTAAAAAAACTAAAAAATAGATTTTAAAAATTCACAATGAGACACATTTAACGATATTTTTATTAAAAAAAGTGTGAATTACCTATACGGGACTAAAAACTGGCCAAAGGGAACAAATAGGACTATGATAATCATGTAATTTTCATGTGTATGTTTGTATTTTTAATTAGTTTTGATTGATTTTTACTTTGGAAATTACACACTTTTGGTGTAATAATTTAGTTTGTTAAATTCTTGTAAATTGTTTAGATTAGGTTCATTCTGAGCTCAAACAGGTCTTGATAACTCAAAGGACAATTGATAACCCGATCCGAAGACAAATGAACATGCAGGGAAGATTTTGACCACGATCGAGTGCCTATACCCGATCGGGTAGACCGACATACTCGATCGGGTATGCCTTTGAGTTTAACCCCAAATTCGGTCGAGTATAGCTCGAATATCATTTTCTACACATACTCGATCGGGTATAAAAACACACCCGATCGGGTATACCTATAGAATATAGCCCAGAACTGATCGGGTATGCTTCAAAGTTGACGTTTTACACATACCCGATCGGGTACCGTGTATATACCTGATCGGGTACCCGAACTGCATCCCAAAAGCCTATAAATACACCTCTTTTTCTTCACAATAGGCAACTAATTCCTTTATACTTCTAAGCTCAGTCTAGAATAATTCTTTCTTTATATTTTCATCATGTTTAGTCTCCAAATGAGTAGCTAAACTCTTCTATCTTGGTTTTGCTACTTTGAAGCTTAATGAATTTGTAAGTTGTGAGTTATTTTCTTTAATCTTCTTCCTTGAATATTAATTATTTCCTATACATATTTCATATTAATGTTTTGAGCATTACTTAAAGGATCAACTAGTTTTGTTTCATACATTAATTATTACTAGAATCAATCGATTAATACGTTTGTTATTAATTCGGTTCTTTCAACGGTAGTAAAACTTGGATTATTATTGCATGCGTCTCATGGTTAATAATCTAAGGGGAATTAATTATATTCATTAAACCAATAAACCGCTTGTGTTGAGGTTATTAATCTCAATCGTTTTCATCTTAAGTTTATTGCTACTATCGGGCTAATATACGGCGCGTGTTCTATATTGACTCGGTAGTAAGTTTTATTAATGAACGCGTCTCGTTATTAATAACTACCCTCGATGAATTGGATATACTCCTCGATTGAGTATTCAAGAGGAAGACAGTTAAAGATATAACCGGGATCGACGAACATTTCATTAAGTGGATAAAAGCAAAACCAAGTCCTCGTCTCTATTAAAGTAAACCACATAAGTCATTCATCTTAGTGCTTAAATACATTTAAATTTATCAACAATCATAAAATCCCCCCTTTTGTTACTAGTTACATAAAAGATAACTATTCCTTTCCCTGTGGATACGAACCTTACTTCAATATACTACGTATATTTGTTGTATTGTATTTATTTTGAGTGCACCTCACGACAAGTTCACGTCAGACTACATGTTTTAAATCCCCCAGTAGGACTATTTATGTGTGTATGGACAAATACGCCCTTGTAGCTTTTGAAATATTTTAATTAATAATAAAATCGTAAAAAATAATAAAAATCGTAAAAAATAAAAAAAAACTTATAAAAAAGTTTTACAAAAAAAAAAATTAAAAAAAATTAAAATGTAAAAACAAAACACTGCCACACCGCCCCTAGCACTACCAGCTCCCATCACTGGAAGAAATCTGCCAACCTTTTTAGTAAAGCCATAATAATGACAGATTCAATGAAAATTTTGGCTTTACAAAGAGTAATAATGTGATTTGGCATTTTCAGAAAAAATGTCATTTTTTATATAAAAAATGGCAGAATTTTCACTAATCGGAGGTGGTGGTGCTGGGTGGCGGTGGGAAAGGTATCCACATTTTTTTATTTTTATAATTTTTTACTACTAGTATTTTGTATTAATTTGTTTTTAAAAAAATTTCAAAATTATGTTTTTTTTAATTTTACTTTATAAATATTTTATTATATTTTTATTATTTTTTACGATTTTTTATTATTTGTTAAGATTTTTTATTATTTTTACGATTTTATATGAATTAAAACATTTCATTATGAATTAATACCCTTAGGGGTATTTAGGGTAGAAATCAATGTGTATTCCTACAGGGTATTTAGGCTGCCATCTTGTTAGAAAGTGACTATGTATTCTTTTGTTTTACATTCAAATAATTTATATTTTAAAAATCATTTTCAAAGAATGCACATAGTATTATTTTTGGTTGGTGAGTGATAGATAGTACATTGATATGTAGTATTATTTAGAGTTATTTTCCATTTAATTATTGTCTAAATAATTGTGTCATTTTGCAATGGCACTTTTGAACGGACGGAAGTAGTATGAAAGAAGTAAAACTAGTAAAATATGAGTTGATATTTGTAATTCTCTAGTAAAAGTCTTTTTTGTACAACAACAACAACATCTAAACCCTAATCCCAAAAGATAATATATAAAAGTCTTTTTTGGGATTGGATAAAATTAAATATCTCTTTGAGCGTTGAGGCTAGCTAGCCACTCGAGAACAACACTTTCGTTGGAACTGTCATCGCAGATCGTTGGAACTTTGTTGTCGTCAATCGCTGGAACTCTATCACTAGTAGACTGTCGTTGCCACCACCACTAGACTGTCCTGTCACCTCGGGACCGGGTTGTGCTTGGAAGGTAATTAATTAAATTAAATGTAATTTAATTCTTATTACCTTTCAAATAAACGGTCCTGTCACCTCACCACCACTAATATTCAATTCTATTCAAGGATGTGAAATATCAATTCTTATTTGGAAAATATCCCACCTTCTTTCTTAAATAATTAACTTTTCATGTTTTTCGATGTACACTTTGACCACTAGTATATTTAATTCTCTATTATTAAAAAACTAAAAAATCAGATTTTAAATTTTTCTAAAGAGACAAATTTAACAATAGTTTTATTAAACAATTATCAATACATTAATAAATAAAACATAGTCAAAGTAGAAAATGTAAATAATGTAAAATTCAACGCTGCTCTTTTCCCATTGAAACCAAATATAAACCTATGCTCGAGATCGGAACATGGACATATATGATGTTGGTCATATTTTACTCTTATTTAGAGCAATCAATTTACAATGGATTTACAAGAATATAAGACTAGTAAATGTATCGAGTACTTTATATAGTAAAGTCCGAAGTTAGCTATATAAAACTACCAAAAAAGGCAATAAAAAAGGGAAACTCCAAACAGCAAAACTCTTGCATGCAAAAGAGTAATGTAGAGCTGCCACATATATGGGTGGCATGACCATCTCGAATATTATGCAGCCACGCATCTGAATGCCCATCCCTTACTCTACCATCTTAGACCCCCACCCCACCCCACCCCCACCCCCACCCACCTTTTCTGTCACTATAAAACCTTTAGATTCATTGTTCCAATTCATATATCCTAAAAATATTTCTATTTTTTCTTCACTTTTTTCAGAGAGAGTAATGGGGAGTGAGTGTAGAGGTGAGAGTTACCATAAGTTTCACGCCACTCACCAACTGTATCTGAACAAGAAATACCTCCGAGACCCTGAAATTCCTCCCAGAAAACTCTTCGGCCGCCGTCACGCCGCCGACTCCGACGTTCTTATGGAGTCTCCGACCAAGGCGGAAGACACCCATTTCCAGAAATTCCTGCCCTACAACAATAGCGACGATGACGACGATGATCCTTACTCATCGGATAATTTCCGCATGTTCGAGTTCAAGGTCCGGCGGTGTACCCGCAGCCGGAGCCACGACTGGACCGACTGCCCGTTCGCTCACCCCGGCGAAAAAGCTCGCCGGAGGGATCCCCGGAAGTACCAGTACACCGGGACTGTCTGCTCGGAGTTCCGGAAGGGGAACTGCCTCCGCGGGGACGGCTGCGAGTTCTCCCACGGCGTGTTCGAGTGCTGGCTCCACCCGAACCGGTACCGGACTGAGGCATGCAAAGACGGCAAGAACTGCAAGCGAAAGGTCTGTTTTTTCGCACACACTCCCCGTCAGCTGCGCGTCTTGCCACCGGATGGCCACGAAATTTCCCCGGCGGGAGTCGTGAACCACTGCTGCGTGTGCTGCCACTCGCCAAACTCGACTCTGTTGGGAATCTCCCACATGTCGCCGCCGGTGTCACCGTCGTCGCACCCATCGCCCATCTCTCCGGCGAAAGCCCCATTTTCGCGATTCGGGGGATCCGACCCGGTTTCAGTTGACCCGTTTGACCACAAGAATAGCGCCGCTATGACCGAACTGGTGAACAATCTTGAATCCATGAACGTTAATGGAGGTAACGGAAATTATTATTTCAACAACAATAGTAATAATAATGCCGAGGATCAGCCGGGGTTCATTCTTTCTCCATCAACTCCGGCAGCTTCAAGCAAGACCCTGTCCCCTGCCGCCGCTGCCGGGACAACCAGATTTTACAACGATAGTGGACTGCCGGGGATTGATCTTGGTTGGGTCAACGATCTGTTGACCTAGTCAAACAAAGTCACATTCATGTCGATCAATTAAGTGGGTACATCAGCTTATAACAATCAACATGAAAATTATGTTTGTTGGATAAGTTAAGGAAGACAATTTGTGTATATAGCGAAGGAAGCTAAAGATTGAAGCTCAAGCTGCTGAAGGATCATGGATGGCGCATGCATCTCCTGATTTTAGTTAATTAATTAATTAATTAATGATGTCATTGTTTTTCCTAATTTAATTTCGGATGGATTATGATTAATGACTAGGTTGTTGCCCATTATCGTATTGGGTTATTATTATATTAATAATTGTAATAATTAATCTTGTGTCAGCTAGTGAGTTATTCGAGTCTTGATTTCAAAGTTTGAAATCAATTGTAATTTGATTTGTGATTGATCAATATATCAAGGCTCTAATTTCTATAAGAGCATCTCCATTCACGATCTCTAATAATCAATTTTTTCTATAATTCTTACCATTTAAATATTGTTATTTAATTAATTATAAAATAATCTCAAAATTCGTTTATGTCTTCAAATAATTTTTAATTTTTTTTATAATTTTTACCATTTAAATATTGTTATTTAATTAATTATAAAATAATCTCAAAATTCGTTTATGTCTTCAAATAATTTTTAATTTTTTCTATAATTCTTACCATTTAAATATTGTTATTTAATTAATTATAAAATAATCTCAAAATTCGTTTATGTCTTCAAATAATTTTTTTTCTCTATCCTGCATTAATCTCTATTACATATATTTTTCACATAATCTTAAACCAATCCTTCCGGATGCCCTAAGTAATGATGATAATGCACTTTTGTACTGTTTATCAATTTTGTACAACCTTCTTAATTAAGTTGGTTTGCTGGAAAAAGAATGCATTAACTTCATGAATATATTTACCATTAATTTACTTCGTTGTTTGGTTGCCGGGAAAGAAGGTGACGTGGTGGAAAATGATGTGAAGTGCTTGCAACGTGGCAGACATGCAAAATAAGATATGAAGATGCTGACTTGGAAGGACGTTTTCATCAGGTGACTTGAGCCCAGAAAATCAGGGTTTCAATCTATAATTTTAACAACCTACCATCTTAGACACGATCATGGTTTAGAGGAAAACGTCAATTTAGGGCTGTTACTTTCCAAAAGTTGAATACCGAAAATCACTACTTAATTGATGAATCGGTTGAAACTAGAACTCTGATCGTTTGGGTATAGGGGCATTTAGGCAAATCGAGCAAGGGCAGAAAAGTAGAGGGACTAAAATAGACCATTAAAAGTGTACAAAATTGTAGGCGTATTCAAATTTCCGTTCATTCTTATTAACTTCTAAAATTATGGAATCTGGTGGACTATTAACTTCTAAAATTATGGAGTCTCGTGGATTTTTAACTCATCCTGAATACATTAATTCTTTGCAATTGTCTCTTCTCTTCAACAAAGATTTCTGTGAACTTTTTTTGTTGTCTTCCATTCGCCACAAGTACAAATAGATCTGATTGCAGATTTGATTAATTATTTACCTGAGTTCACAAATCGGTCAACAAATCCTGGACTAAAACATGACGGGTCGGGAGGTGGGTATCAGGATGGTCTCAATATGTATGATTTGAACATTATTTTTTGATTTTTTTATCATTTTATGATAAATAAAGTTGAGCAAGAAGATTCTACATTAATAGTTATACACAAGATAAACTAAATAAAAGTAATATTTTATGTGTCATCTTACGAAGAAAAATGTAGAGGGTGAGATCGGTTCAATTCTTGAAAGAAAATTAGGAACCATTTGAAGAACTGTTAACCTCATATTGATTCGGTTCTAGAAGTTTTTTGAAGAATCAATATAGGAATCGATAGTATGACATTGATGCAATTGAGATACGTCGTCAGTTAACCATTAAGAAAAAACTCTTTTAGCTATTACTGTGTTTCATCGTTAAACTGCTAACACATAAAAATGTAATTTCAAATTAATAAATATATAATCGTAAATAAGTCTATAAAATTTAACAAGCTAAAAAAGAAAAGAAAACAATTATTTAGAAAACAATAAAAGTAAATAAATGTGATTGCACCTATATATTTTTGTACCACATGTAGCAATAAGTGTAACACTTGTGTAATGTTTTCTTTAAGTATAAATAGCTAGACCGAGATTGTTAAGCATTCTTTAAACTTTGGGTTTTCCTTTTCATAAAACTAAATTTAGATTCTTATGCTTCATTTATTCTTGTACACCTCTGTGTTGCTAGATGAAATACATTTGTTCATTTATTTATTTAATTGTTTCTTATCATATTGTTCAGAGAAAACTACGCATGATAGGACTAAAGCATACTCCTTCCGCTCTTTAAAACTTTGTCAAGTTTAATTGACCGGCACGAGAATTAATAAAGTAAAAACTGTGTGGTCAACTTTTGTGCAGAGCAGAGAGAATTATCTACAACCACAAATTCTATACTAAAAAACTAAGATGGCAAAGTTAGTGGGACAACAAAAAATACAAGGTTGGCAAAGTTTTAATTGACTGAGAGAGTAACATTTTTTTGAAAGTATGATCATATATTTGATTTCCTTTAAATAGTACTAAATATTACATTTGTACCCCTTTAATTAATTAATATGATTAATCATTCCTAGTTCCTTTGCATAATCAAAGTCATTTTGTTGATGGCGGATCAGATCAATGTGATGACGACAAAGGCGAGCTCTGGTGACGGAGGCGGAAAGGCAGATCGATAGCGACGATCGGGGTGAAAATTCTGACTGTGATCTTTGGACTTTTTGAAAATCTATAAACTTATTCATGAATTTAAAAGTCAATAAAATTCATTCATAAAAAAGTCTATGGATTTAAAAGTTCATTGACTTTTTTAAAAATTAATGGATTAAATAAAATCCACCACAATCCATATTCAATACACCCCTTAATCTGTTCATGAGTTAGCTCCGGATTAAACCTTCCATGTAGCGTTATTCTTAAAGATTTCATTGCATTTATAGACTTTTAGTCCTTGCGAATAATAGACATTTTATTTCTGACCCATGCTTTTTTTCTTTTTTTTTATATGCACCGTTTTCTTTTTAGTCTTTTTTAAATTTTAATATCAGGAAAATGGGGTCAGGCGCTGGGTATTTATAACCGCACAAACCAGGGTTAAACCCGGAATCCGGCCCCCTGGTTAAAACGCCATCATGATGAACTGCCGCCTAAGCCCAATCATGAAGCCCCACCCAATAAATGCCTATCAGCATGCGACATGTGCACAACTCTCCCAATGGTAACATTCCAACGGTTACCCCAAGGAACTCAACAGCCCCAGCCGACATCCGTCGCTAGTGCCAACGATATATAGCTCTTGGGTCACCACATTTGCGAACACCCGTTCAACTTGAACAAGCTTCGCCCTCCCCTCGGTAAAAAACGAAATATGTCAAAATTAATTCACAGATATCAACAACAAGGCAGCCTACGAGAAAATTAGAGAACTACTCCCATTTCCATCGACAAGCTCTCGGCAAAGGGAGTGAGAGACTCTTGATAGAGTATATGGCCCGGGAACCCCCGGACCACATATTCCTGCTACCTCAAACAAGCCTGATAAGCTCTGGCGGCCAAAATATAGAAGCCCAATCACAGTTGATCCCGCATCCCAAAAAGGAATGCCTTCGGCACCATGGCCGAAGGGTTCATACTCATGAACGCCACTCCATTCTGGTCAGGTAACACGCCTGGAGATTTTACCCCATCACATCAGCCTTCGGTCAGACCGCCTTCGGCCCCGGTACCGAAGGCCCGCAATCTCGACAGAAGCTTCTCTCTGCTTAGCTTTATGTGGTGCCACGTGTCAGCACCCGCATGACCGGGGGGCTCTCCTTCATGTGCTAGCTTACACGTGTACGTGCATTTAATGCACCTAGCATTTATGACTAGTATAAATAGCGCCCCTTGGGCAGTTGAACGGACCATTGGTTATTTATTGTTATCACACTTTCTCCCTCTACCTTATTGCTCTGAGTTCTCTCTAGATACCGCTAATGGTATCCCGATATAGAATATCTATCAATCGTATAACCGGTTGTATAATGCAAGAGTGGCTGGGAATGGTAGTATTTTTAGTTAGCAATTGCAATTTTTATTAATTGAGCAGGTACCAATGCACTTTTATTGAACATCGTACTTATATTGTGTTAAGTATGAAGAGTCAAGTATTGAGAATTAAGATCTATGTTTCACATCATCTAATTCACTTTCTTTTCTTATTTTTTCTTTTCTAGATATTTCTTAAATTATATACGTAATCAACTCATATGAATTTCAACATGTGAATCTAATTCAATATCATATTTTGGAATTTGCATTGATATGTGATGGACTATATGACCTAGGACCCCCCCCCCCCCCCCGGTCCATATAATCCCACTATGCTGCAATATTCCCAATTGCCACAATTGGCTCAAGGTGTCAAGGTGGCAGGGTGATGGTTTCCGGCAAAACTTTTGATGAGGAAAAGTCACCGGAATTTTTTTCGACGATATAGTGACACGTTTTCTGGCACAGTAAGGTGGTAAAATATTACCATCCTAAAATCACAATGTTATATCTTAAGATTTATACTAATATATGATAATAATAATGTAATAATATGAGGATAATTTTCAAGATGATAGGACTTGTTAAATTAGGCTCTACTCTGTTAGACTTGTTGTACTTTCACCATATTTGATCATACGTAATGTTAGTACCCAATTTTGATAGATTTTGATGATGCCACTATACTTTACTCTTGTACATTATGTCTTATTTACTTTGAGAGTTAGTATTCGAAATTAATCATAAGTGACAAAATCAATGTACAATTTTTGTGACAAATAAAATTATACCAGAAATATAAAAATGCAATAAGGTAATTTTTTTACCTTAAAAGGATATTTAAATCCTACCGGTATATATTTATTTAAACACAAAAATTATTATCGTCACAAGGTAAAAAATGTACGCATATCATATACACTGCATGTGTATGATTGAAGATAAAACTTGATAGGTATTTAATGCAAAATTGTATATGGGATCCGGAGCATGGGACACACACAATAAAATCATTTTGATCTTGAAGTGATCTTTCAGCGGCTCATCAGTGAAAGACAAAGGAAATCACCAAGATCGGCTCCAGCACAAGAAGACAAAGTCAACACGTTCAATGTCAGAGATTGAATCATCTTAACCAACGGATGAGATCAATCAAACAAGAGAAGCCTATAAATATAGGCTGAAGCATGAGATCTAAGTAATTTTTTGAGTCTTCTAAGTAGAGAAAACCTTACTAAGCATTCAAGAGATATCTAGCAAAAGAGAAAGTGCCTGTTTAACTTTGCTCTCTGCTTAGACTCATGCTTCACTAAACTTCTAATAAGTCCGTATTT